AGTAAACCTTATTTCTAAATATTAAAATGTTTTTGTTTTCCTAGACTTGAGGTAACATTGGATAGAGCAAAGCAAGCTTTACAAATCGATTACAAAGGTCCACTTAAGTCATGATTCATGTAAGAATTGGAACCAAAACCGAGAAACCTTTTGTCGCGGCTCGCGATCGACCGCTCCTCACAGCATGTGGCCGGGAGCACCGTGTTGCCGCGCGTCTCGGTCGTGAGCACGGTCGCCGCGCTTTACGGCGGCTACCTTGTTCGCTCCGAGACCACACCATGTAGGCACGCCCCCAGCCACCGCTATAAATAGCGCGCACGCACGCCATTGCGGCCTCTCTCGTCTTATCATCTTACTATTATCGTCGTGCCGCCTTTGTTATTGATTGGTTGGGTTTCCACGATATCGCCGTCGTGTCTACGTCCCCGTGCCTCGCGCGATTGGATGGATCGTTGATGGATTATTTGGATGTACGCGCGAGGATAGAATTCCAGGATGATGAACATCACGAAGCGCCTTCTTCGCGCAGGACTCGTTGGGAGCTTGGTTCGATGCTGCTGATTAACATCATGGGGTCGGTGTTGCCGTGCCGTAGCTGCTGCCTTGGCGGCGCGCGGCCGGCCTGTGGGTAGCTCCCTTGGATGCCGGGAGAGTGTGAGATTGTGTTAGTGTGTGAGTGTGAGTAAGCTAGAGTCCCCATCGGTAGCCCGGGGTAGAGCTTAACTCTCCCCGTGGTATGTATATTTACATTTGTTTATATCGTATATTTTTGTCGTGCATATTTATTTAGTAAATTTTATGTAGGTTATTTGTTTCGTGTTCGTGTAGGCGTAACGCGCCGTTGTGGGCTGGGCCCACCCGCAGCTGCGGAAGTCCTTCGGGGACAGGAGCTGGACGCAAGGCAGTCGAGCACTAGGTCAGGGGGCGCAGAGCCCACCGAGCCGCAACATGGTGCATCGATGCCGAGCGCATGGGGGATGGCGTCGCCGCCCGCGGATGGGTTAGTCGCGCAAGTGGGAGCAGAGTTGTGTGTCATCGGTGTGTTGCGTCGTTGTTACGTTGTTGAAGGAACGCGCTATCCCATCCATCATGCGTGCCTAACGAGCCCGAAGCTACCACGCTCAGCGCCCCAGTAGGAAGTCCTGGCAAACAGAGAGGCAGAGTTGAATACCTACGTAGCCAGTAGCAAGAGTGCCGGAAGGTAGCCAGGGTGCGAAGCATGGCGTGTTAGCGCGGGGGGATAGTCGGGAAGACTGTGGCAACTTGCCAACTAGAACCCCAATTGGCCAAGCGCCCACGTCATGCGATACCTGGTAAGCCTGTCGCGCTTGGAAAGTACTGCCTAGGTGGAGGGCCGGTGTCGTAGTCGGCGGGCTCGACAGGGGGTACCGGAGAGTACCAGCGGCCGCACAAGTCGAGTCTTTGGGGTCTGAACGGATTGGAGGAAGCAGGATGGGAAGAATCGACAGATGGACGCCTTGATGGAGTACGATTGATGGAAGACGGATGTCAGACAGGCGGAGGATGAAGATGAAGATGGAGGATAGGACGATCGCGAGCGCGCCTGAGTAGCGCGTTGTACGTGCATTTAGTGCTGTATCGTTGAGCACGCTGCGCGCAGAAGACCAGATCGTGGAGGCGCGAAGAAGAGTTGTATCGTTGTACGCGCATTTTAGGACTGTATCGGAGCACGCGAGAGAGCTGTACCGGAGTACGCGCCTGGAGGGTTTTGATGTTGAATTGTTGTTCGAGTGGGAAGCTGGCATGGAGATAGACAGTTCGAAGGCAGACGGATGGAAGTCAAGGAGCGCGATTTAGAGCTGTATCGTCGCACGCGTATTTAGTGTTGTACCGTTGAACACGCTTTAGTATTGTATCGTCGTACGTGTATATAGTGTTGTATCGTCGAACGCGTTTCAGTACTGTATCGTTGTACGCGCTGGTTCGAAGGCGAAGGACGAGCGACGGACAGGAGGAATCGAGAAAGGGGTATGGAGCTGTGTAGAGCTGTATCGGTGGACGCGTGAAGGTGGAGCAGTATCAAGACGCGCGAAGAACCGCAGCTGGGGATCGACACCGTCCTATATTCACATATAGGAGCTTGGACCATAGCCGGGAAGACGGGATTCGGGTTCTTTTATGTAAGCTGGGGTTTTATAGTTAGTATTTTGTGTTCTATAGCTTTTGTATTTTTGTATTTTCTAAGTAAGTTTATGTTTGGGGTTAGATGTGAGTTTGTTGGTACTAGAGGTCCTTGGATCTATATCCTGTTAGTTTTTCTTTCACATCACCTTCTTTTCTTTCGCTCTACTGTAGTTTAGTTTTCCCACAAACCGGTATTAGTGTCCCCGTAGTATAATTGCCTCTCTTATCTTTTCTTTTAATCGTTATCAGTAACCGTAGTCGCCTTTGGCTCCCGTCGTAGTGTAACATGGGGTACCATCAGGTAAGTTTCGTTAGCGCAAATAAGCGCACTTGCGCTTTCGTTTCTGTGCCCCCTTAGTTTGCCCACCACCCCTAGTACAAGCGGAGAGCAGCCGTGCTAGAAGGATAGGAATTGCCGAGCAAGATGCTGGAAGGTACCATCAGCAGGACGACGACGAAAGACGGCAATTGGCACGAAGCACGGTTTTTAGCAGGATATGGTCCAAGTGCCCAACAGTGATGGCCTCTCCGTTCGCCGACAGGAGCCCTGAGCAGCTTCCAGACCGGCCTCCGACAGGATAACCTTTCCCGTACCTTGTTATACGCGCGCCACTTAGTGCCGCGCAGGCTCTTCAGTGACACTCTGCCGTTATTTACGCTCTGTTTGCCTTACGTCCTTTGGTTGCCCCGCGGTTACGTACTACACTTCTTTTTTTGTTATTCCTTCTTTGGTGGAGTAGGTAGGGTAACTTGAGAGGGTCTAGTAGGGTTGTTCGTTGGCATGGGTAGTAGGGAGTGTGTTCTGTGTTTTTCTATTTATAATTATATCTATTTTCTTTAGGTTACCGATGGGTGTGAGTGTTGCCCCCTAGCGCGCCGCGCTTCGTTCAGGCATGGTCCATCTTCGATGTCGTTGATCACACGACGGATAGTATGACAGAGAGAGCCATTGGAAACAGGCAGAATTTCTTACCGTTTTCCATCCAGGTACCGAGCCTCTGTTTTCCTTCTTCCTTTGTTCTGATTTGTCTGGTGCCAGGCCGTTGTCGAGCTTTATGCTCTGTTTTTACTATCAGGCCAAATGTTGTGTTTTTGCGGCGAAATGCCCTTTTTTCTGTAATTTTTTGTCCCGTATTTCCCCACTTTTTCTTCAGTTGGGTCCTGAAACGATCGTTGTTGAGCGCGCACTTTAGGCGGCGTGTACCCCACCTTCTTGTGCATATCGGTCGACCATCGGATCTCTTGCGCCTTTTCCCTTTGTTCCCTATGTTTGCTTATTGTTGTGCGCAAGCAGTAAGCAATCGTAGCCTCTTTTTGTTTTCTCGTAGTATGCGCGACCCAACTGTTCATTCGCGCAAATTTTATTTTTTTGGCCTCAGAGCGTCGGTTGGGTCAGTAGATCTGCATTTCTCGCTAAGTATTCTATTTTTGGTGTATAGCGAGTTTGTTCCATCCTTGCAGTTACTATTGTCTACCGTGTTGCAGCCTGTGTCCCAGCCAAGTCAGTATTTTTGTTCTTCTTGCAACCTCGCGAGCCGTGAGCTTATCGCCGCCCTTTTTGCTCATTGCAGAACCTTCTGCATGCTCCATCTTGGGTTCATCCAGTATCACTGCAGTTGTTTCTGTAAGTGCTTCGCGTAGTTGCAATCCTTGTTCGATTTTGGGCTACCTGCAAGACTATTATTTACTCGGCTTTGACTTAGATTCGGCCTTTTCTTTACGCGCGTTCAGTACATCGTCCGTGTGCTAGCACGATCCGCGCATTTTTGGACATCCCTTGTACTGCGCGTTAATCCTTGTGTTTCTCATGTTACATCCCGTAAGCGCGCCCTTGGTAGTATGTCATCTTTTGTTGGCGCAGTGTAGATTTTTTCTCATCGCCTACTCCATCTACAGGCTCCTTCTCGCGCGTGAGTACTTTTAGTAGTGTCGCGCCTTTGCTCTCGTTGTGCACTCCATCTGCACTTTGACCTCATGCCAAGTTTACTTGATTACATCCTCGGCAAGTGAAGTACTCCTTTACCATCTATGTTGGCATCGTCGTGTTTTTGAGTCCTATCGTCGCTCGACTAGATATTGCGCTTAGCGCGCCAGCCGTACTTCATGCCGTATTCTTTGCCCGTAGTAGCTTGGCTTAATCGTTGCGCTTAGGGCTACTGTGTCTTGTTTGTCCACAGTTGTTACCATCTTGTTCGTATGTTCAACTTGCCTGGCCAGCTAGTGTAACTGCGACTACCACTGTATATTGGCAAGCACGTTTCTTGAGTGCATCTGTTTCTTGGATTTAGACTTACCTGACGCGCAATCCGTAGACACGTTTATGCTACCTTGTCTGTGGACGCTTATGTCAGGCACCTGTAGCCAGTAACATCGGCTGTAGTTATATGTGCGGCTTTCGCCGTTGCTTTCTTGGATTTACTCCTTTTACCTGGATTGGCTTATACTCGGACTTACTTCTTGTCTGCATCACTGTTTTGTTGTGTCATCGTTCCATCACCTATTTGGACACTCTCGGTATGCAGCGTAACCCGATTTTGACGAATGTTAGAATAGTTCTGTAGGTAGTACCTACTCCCGCACGCGCTGTAGCGTCTTCGTCGTCAGCTTGGCTCACATTCCAACATTTGATCATGGTTATACTCAGTTTGCGCATAGTAAGCCCGCTTCTTCATCGACGTGCGGTACATACTTAGCGTAACGCGCTAAGTAGGTGGGTTAGGTACGTAACATCATTCAGTTGTTGCGCTGAGTATTAATCATGCCTATGCCAATGGATTCATCGTCGGAACGTCCAGAGGGAAGTCTCACTGCGCAGCTTAAACGCGCAGTCAATCAGCCTAGAATACCTCGTGACGATGATCTATTTTGAGGATGATGGGACCAACGGTGAGGCGGGAATAGGAATTTCGACGCACGAGTCTGAGGACGACTTCTGGCAGGAGTTGATGGAAATTTGTGGACGAGTACCCATGGCAAATCCACAAGACGCGCAGGCGGACGCGCAACCGGGTGATACTGCGGACTCGAACATTAGTAGGCAACACTAATTTTGAATTTTGTTTTGAATTTTCCTTTTTTACAGTTTACACTTCTAAATTTACTAACGTTTGCATCTGCGCGTCAGTCAATTCCTTTTACACTTTAACATCCTTGTGACTGCGCGCCTCTAAAATTTTATTTTTATATTTTGCCTACTTACTGTGTAACATCCGTCGCGCTAGTTGACCCACTAGCTAACATCATCTGGCGCACTTGTGGAGCGCGTTAATATCTATCGCGCCATGTAAAGCTCCGCAGCAGTAACATCTTAGTCAATCATCAGCTCCATAACCATACTTCCTATTGTAGTAGCGCGTTAACACCAATTAAATTTCCGCTAATTTTTCTAACTTGTTTACCATTGCTACTCTGTCGAGCAGCTTAGCGGTATAGTCTACTTTAGGAAGTTGCAACCGTCCCCGGACGCGCCGTCTCATTTGCCCAAGTCCCGACCATAGAGCCATTGCGAGCAGTCCACCAGGCTCCTGTAATATCTGCTCTATGGGTTGGGCCGTCTTTTCTTGAACAGACCCACAGTGCTGCACCCCCGGGTCCTTGAGTTGCGGGGTCGATCCCCTCGTCGAGGCATTTTGTCCTCGGCGGGAGGCTGAACCTTCGTCCAATTCGGTCCGGACGGGTGCTAGACGCACGAATTCGGGGATGTTTCGGGAAAGACGTAGTACTTTTTTGTTCGGAAGCCAACACCCCCTCAGTACATTGTTTCATTTTGTACCTTTTTATCGTAAATTAAGTTAAAATCAGGAGAGGGTGGAGGTTTCCCTTTGTTTCAGGGTGTGCGTTCCAGGACGCGCGTCATGTAGGTTCGCAGGTGGTAGGTTTCGTTTCGGGCATTACGTTCCCTCGATGTTGAATGTATGAGTGTATTTAGAGTGATCAGATGTTGATGGACGAGGGACGTAATGCGGGTTGGACGCGCAGTAAGATCAGCGCTGGTCGAGATGGATGGTGAGATGGATTGGGCGACGCTATGGGCTGGAGCGTCTATCCTGAAACGATCTACATAGTTTAATAGCTATAGAAGTATTTTTAATCACTATTCGTATTTATTTGGTAAGCGCCCTGAGCGCTCCGGTTTATTCTAGTAGTGACCTGCGCGTCAAAGCGCCTGTAGTTTTGTGCTTATTTTTGTGTTTTACCACGGGGCGGGTTACTGCCAGTTCCCTCGCTACCGATGTTGCATATTTCCTTTTTTTTCTATCATCGCCCAAATTTTTTAGGTTAAGGCAGTTGCCCCAGGTCACGGTGCTATCACGTAACCACCTATTCGCAACGCCCAATGCCTTTCGATGTGGGGGGGGGGGGAGTGTCGCGGCTCGCGATCGACCGCTCCTCACAGTATGTGGCCGGGAGCACCGTGTTGCCGCGCGTCTCGGTCGTGAGCACGGTCGCCGCGCTTTACGGCGGCTACCTTGTTCGCTCCGAGACCACACCATGTAGGCACGCCCCCAGCCACCGCTATAAATAGCGCGCACGCGCGCCATTGCGGCCTCTCTCGTCTTATCATCTTACTATTATCGTCGTGCCGCCTTTGTTATTGATTGGTTGGGTTTCCACGATATCGCCGTCGTGTCTACGTCCCCGTGCCTCGCGCGATTGGATGGATCGTTGATGGATTATTTGGATGTACGCGCGAGGATAGAATTCCAGGATGATGAACATCACGAAGCGCCTTGTTCGCGCAGGACTCGTTGGGAGCTTGGTTCGATGCTGCTGATTAACATCATGGGGTCGGTGTTGCCGTGCCGTAGCTGCTGCCTTGGCGGCGCGCGGCCGGCCTGTGGGTAGCTCCCTTGGATGCCGGGAGAGTGTGAGATTGTGTTAGTGTGTGAGTGTGAGTAAGCTAGAGTCCCCATCGGTAGCCCGGGGTAGAGCTTAACTCTCCCCGTGGTATGTATATTTACATTTGTTTATATCGTATATTTTTGTCGTGCATATTTATTTATAAATTTTATGTAGGTTATTTGTTTCGTGTTCGTGTAGGCGTAACGCGCCGTTGTGGGCTGGGCCCACCCGCAGCTGCGGAAGTCCTTCGGGGACAGGAGCTGGACGCAAGGCAGTCGAGCACTAGGTGAGGGGGCGCAGAGCCCACCGAGCCGCAACACCTTTCACCTGAAAATCGGATTTTTAGGGGAAAAATCCTACGGACCTCTAACTTAGTCATACAGCAAACACACAATAGTACTCGAATACGCCTTCACCGGATTTTTTTTGGCCACAGAAAGCGAGAAAAATAAAATATTCCAAAAATGGCAAACTCCGCCCCCCAACCCCTACCACATATGCATTGTATACTACAAGCTTTAGTAAGCATGACCTTAATAGTTTACCCCTGTATGCTCCCTGGTTAAAAAGCCGAAAAAAGTGCCATTTCTGCATTCTCGCATACTTCCTCAATTTTGAGCTTCGAAAAAAAAAACCCGACAAGTGTATTTTTAGATATACTACGTGTCTACTGTATAACGAAGTTGGAGGTCCGTAGAAGTATTCTAAAAGGAGATTCGTTATTTTTAGCGTGGTTGAAAAAGTTTGATTACTGGCTCCAAATTCTAAATGGATTATGACTTGGGTGAATCTTTGGTGGCATGGCATCGTGTAGAGTTTGCTTTACACTTTCAAGTGCTGTTCCATATTTGCTAAGAAAAAAAAACAGTTTGACTTATTTATGAGTACGGTTTACTTTGGGAATTTATGAGTACGGTTTACTTTGGGAATTTGTGAGTACGGTTCACTTTGGGACAATCTTACAAAAGACGTTTGATGGTGCAATGTTTTTGCTAGCCATTCTTCTGAGACCTCATAATGTCTTTGTTGAAAAGTATCGACAAAAGGGTCAAAATCACGATTTATTGGTCACAATATACAATCACCATAACTTAAGAGCTCTGAAAATGCGTCTCGTTTCCAATACCATTCCCAAAATGGCTTGTCACTCAAAGTGAATGTGACATTTGTTTTGTCATGTTCTTTGCAATTCGTTCAACATTGGGAAGGTAATAATTTATTTGACGCGACAGTGCTATCACTCAGGAAGGATTTGAGTGACCGTGACCATTCTTGATCCGCTTATCAGTGGTATATATTGACCGTGAGGTTGCGCGGAACCGTACAAAGTCAAAATTCCCACTCTTACTCTAATTTTTCAATATATTTTTACACAAAACTCTTCTTTAGTTCGACCTCTAACTATGAGTACTACCTTAATGCAAGTTTTTCCTTTCGCTCAGTAACGACCTTTGATGATTTAAAAACCGCCTTTTTTGCCTTTGCTATTTTATCCCCAATTTCCTTCATGTTTTCTTCGCTTCCTTCCATTAGTCGTTTCCTGCAGATTATTAGCCGTACTTTTAAAAATACGACAAAGTTTTTGTTTCGTAATCTGCAAGGTCAAAAAGGATTTCGTTTTCAGAATTCAAAAATGCCACCTCGAGTTGGGCCGTGTTAGGTCGTCTCGAATGTTTTGTATGTTCTATGATTGATTATTAAAACTAACACCAACCGACAAAGGACTTAAGTGTCAATCAAAAGCAATTTTTATCCTCTTCTTGATAGCAACACTTCCGCTCTGGTCTACTCAATCTTTGCGATGTTATCGCCTGGCCTGAGCTGTCTTATAGTTACAACAAATTTTCCTCAGTTTCGAGAAATCTTATACTAGCCATTCAAAAATCGCCTTTGTCTGTGATGTAGAGTGAACCCTTGCATGCATTTTGTTCAGTTTAGAGTGCCTGATCAACTTTGTAAAGTATTTAATAATTGCTTATTCGGGAAAAACCCAGATCTGTAAGCACATGCGTAAAGGCGCACCAAAACATCATAGCCAATTCTTCAAAATCCTTGATTATCTTATAGGAGATGTCTGACAACAATCAGGTCTGAATTCACAGGAAATTAACAGGCTTCTATGTTCTTAACATCTTTCATGTTCCTAACATCTTTTGCTTTTATCAAAAGTCGAGATCTCCAAACAGAAGTCAAAAAGCTGCAATCATTAGTTGGAAGCCTCGGAGGGACTATCGTCCAGTTAAACTCGCTCTGTTTTCATTAAATAATTCTTACTCCTTTTCCGAAAGTCCAAGTCGAACTTAGGGAGATGTATAGAGATGGGAGTAGAATTTTGGCAATCATCAAAATACTGGAAGGTTGTTGTCAAAAGTGTACTGTCAGGAAGAGAAGAAAGCTATCAAATGCATGTTTGAATTTTAGGGGTACAAACTTATAATACATGGTTAACCTCCATGCAGAGAAATTAAAATCGTAGTAAAGGAGAAAGGCCGCTACTTTGTGGAAGGACAGGGGAAGGATTCGGAAGCTACTCGGTTATCTCGGGGTCTTGCAAAGCTACTAAGTTAGGCCGCCGCCCAAAAATAAATTTCGTGCAGTAAACTGTCTAGCGAAGGTGTAGGGTAGAATCTTTAGACTTGATTCTTGAAAATTGTATTAGTATGTACTCTTCACTCCGCCGACATCTCAGCCTCAACTTCTCTTTGAGACTGAAAACAACACTGCGAATTATCCGCCTGAAACCTTATCAGTGAAATGTAGAACATTGTGGTGACTATCACGACACAAGAATAGATCAAGTTAGCGCTTACCATTATAGCACTAACGGTAAACAGAGCGTGTATCACCGAGTGAAGCGCTTACTATTTGATTAGCCTCCTATATCATTCTGTGTTTGACATTCCTTTGGTTACGGCAGTACATTCTTTCTTGCAATTAATTTATGAAAAGCGTTTCAAGGCAGCCTTTAAAGACAGACAATAATGCCAATTCGAGTCAAATGTTTTCGACTGTGTTAGCCTTACCCTTCAAATGCATGCGTGAAGCACAAGGTCCAGCACGAGGCGGCATTTGAGAATTTTGAGAACAAAGTTCCTTTTACATTGCAGAAATTTACGTATCCTATTGTGATTTTGTAGAAGCACGACTTATAATCTGCAGCGAACAATGAGTGGATGACAGGGCTCAGCACAGTCGCTTACAAGCAAGCTGGGCATCGTTTTTGGGACTAAAAGCAAAGGGGATGTCATTTTTGTGGCCGAAAATTTACGTTTTTTAGTCGACGTTTCTTTATTTTTCAGGGTTTTCGTTCGAGG